TTCTTCATTCTCCATCCTTTACCTTGCTCTAGTGTAGTGAATGCGTAAGGAAAGTATAGTTTTGCCGAGTCAACCTATGTTTCCGTTCATGCAAAAGACAATAAACACAAGATGTAAACAATAGGTTAAATACAAAATGACACTTGAGATAGGATATGGAATAACCTTCACTCGGAGGGTGATAAAAGGACTTTGTTGATGGCTTAAGACTTGTCTTGAACTAGTTTAAAGGTGAACAATGGTTTCACTAGTAACCATTAATATTTCCATTAGAGGTTATACTTTATGGATGATCGATTTAGAGAAGAGATCTCATCATTAACCTTTCTCTTTATTTTCTTCAAAGAGGGAATCCTATTCGAGAGAGAAATGATGTCATCATAGAAGTTCATAAATCTAAAGAGAACACTCTATTATAGGTGTTATGTTTGAAATAAACCATTTCTCATCTAAGGATTAAAGTAACCCTTAGTCTTATTAGGCAAACTACTTCTTGGCACTCGGGTAGGGATTGACAAATTCAATGGCATTGTTATCATCAAAAGTACTCTCATGGATTATCACATCTTTTGAAAAGAAACAAATATCATCCATGAAAAGAAATTTCAAAGCTTTTATTAATCAAAAATGAAAATCCGGATGAAATGCCCTTAAAAGAGGAAGAATTACAAGAAAACATCTAAGTCATGCATCATACTCCTAAGACTATTCCTCGTCCGGCTACCTTAAATAACAAGTCATCATATCTCTTTAGGTATATCATAAAGAAGCGGCGAGGGTTACGTGCCATGCCTTCATAGATGTCTCTACTCAAATTTTGTAGAGCTATTGCCTCTCGAGTAACCACGTTAGCTTGATAATTCATCCTGATTAGATTTTCATAGCATTCATCACATATTTGTAATAAGTGGTTATGCATGTCGGACCAATATACAAATTATTTATGCTAGTCCACCTCTAACTATCAATTATCTCTCTCCAATAAAGCAATCCTCTTTTGAGCCTTTTCAAGTTGCTCTGTTAATTCTTTCTTGTTGTTACATTCCACCCCAAGAGATTTTACTAGATCAACATTTTTCTTCAAAAGCTCTTCTACTTTAGTTTTCTTAACACCTAGCTCATGGTTAACTCGGTAATATTGTCGTTGTAGATCATTAACATCGATGGACTTTGAGGATAACTCGTATGGAATTGGCAATAGAGGGTCTTTTAGTTATCCTCTTCAGCTATTATGCCTTGCCATGTTTAAATCTCTCGCCTCTACTCCCTCATTCTATTCTTAACCTTTTTCCTTTTCTTCTTTTCCTCGGTTAACTCATTCGCTATCTTCAATCTTTTAGCTTTCGAGTGCTCAATCTCCTCCTTCATTCCATTTTCAATAGACTTGGCTTACATAGTGTCATTTTTTTCTTTTGTTCTTTCCTAAGGCTTTGGCTTGGAATTTCCTTAGACGACACTTGGGAGAAGCAATGGTTTGATGAAACCATCGACGGGGGCATGCTTGGGTTGAGCTAGGTAGGCTAAAGACTTGTAATTTTTTACCCTTGTCGACTACCAAATAGGATACCTTGCGGTGATAGCTATCTCCCGGCCAACTATTTTTTAATGTACCATCCCTAATACTGACCATTCTTCTTTAATGACTTCTAAGAATTTAAGTGAAGCATCATCCTTCAAACTCCCTTCAAACTCGACAAGACCCTTTATCCTTGGCACTCGCTACTCATAACCCAACTCGTGGGATACCATGGCGGGTGCATAGCTCGTGTAACCTATCGCCCCAATAAGAGGAACCCATGGGTATCATCCACAATAAGCAAGATAAGAGGTCCGATTCATCCATACTACCATCTATGGAATTATGGTGATTGGCATCTCAAGGAATGTAGTCACCCATCTATGCTCCGAATGGTTTTTCTAAATTACGACGGTAACCTCCCTTAGTGGTTCTTGATCCGTCCACCATGCTGACTTGAAAATGGATTTGTGAGCTTTCATGTGATTGATAATCCAAAAAAATGAGCAATTAAATCACCTTTACCCATTTTGCAATAATGATTCAAAGATAAGATGGTTTCTACTAATACTCGTCGTAGTTGGATTCATGTTATTCTTTTTAACCTTTATGAACATGTTGGCTACGTCAAAGCCGATTACCCCATTGATTAAGGGAAATAGTATTAGCTTAAAGATGCCGAGGGCTAGGATTCGACCTTTTTAAAACTATCTCTTGCATCTTTCAAGCTCCACTCAAATGCTTGTTCCCATGTTTCCTAATGCCACCCTTCGACTTTACTCTTCACCAAGCCGCATTCTCATTCAACCAAGTTTGAACCCTATTGACAACCTCGTAATGATGACGATATAGGTATACCGAATATGGAGAATTTGGCATCCGGAGCAACTAGTGATACTCTTCGAGAGTAGGGGTTATATCAACATTTTTTAGAGTGAAACATTGATAGGAGGTGTCCCACAACCGAATTAGCGCCTTGATTGCTAACTTTTGAACAAGGATCTCAAGTAGAGCAACCAAATTCTCATACTTAAACTTGAACTTTTATCAATCTGTGGATACCAACTAGTTCCGGCATTCTAAAACCTTGGCAAAATCATTGATGATTGTTTGGATGTGCACCACATCTTAAAGGTTACTCCGAGACCCTTTTGACAAATAATCGCCTTTTTTCGATTGATATTCAAAAGTCGTCTTAAAATACATATTGGTCATTTTATCACCCATCCCGAAATATCATGACCAAATTGTTTCGATCAAGGTTTCATTAAAATTCGACTTGCCAATGACATTTACGAGGTAAAACCCTAGGGTCCGGCTCTAAGTCATTACATGAACAGGATAGACTCTATCTAAATCTTAAAAAGGTCCCTTCAAGCCCATCGAATCATAATAGAATTGTTGGGGCCGTTAAAGACGATGATTGGTAAGCATGAAAAATCATTAATTACCCACCGCTCGTTAATGACTAGCAAGAAGAGTTTAGATTTTATGAGTGTTTACCCAAAACAAAACCAATCGAGGCACCACTACTACCTCTCTAAGTCCTAAGGCAAGTGTGTGATAAACATACAAAATAAAGGCGAGTATAGTGTGTGCATGGGCATTATTCTATATATAGTCCCAAAAACGAAAATAAAAATAAAGATACAAATAGAGATGCAAAAATAAAATAATAAATAAATAAAATAAAATAAAATAAAAATATAAGGTGAACAATAAAGCAAATGCATGAATTTAAACAAGACAAGTAAATTACAAAAATAGACTTATAGGCATAAAAATCCATCACATCATCGAAATCAAATTCAAAATTACATGCAAAGCCTAACCCTAAGTACATCCCTAGTGGAATCGCCATGCTATCGTAGGGCGACATTGATGGCGAGGATGACGTGTTGAGGTGAAAATAGGAAACATGGATAAAATATGATTGGAGTTGCCACCTAGTATTACGATTACTAGAAAACTCTATGACGAGTCTATTTAGAGTTCTAGATAAGGGATTTATTACGTATAGGAAAGAATAAAAATCATTTTACCTCATCTTGCCTAAAGCAAGCTATATTACACATAACATTTATTTTATTTTTTATTTTTTAATGGTGAAGACTATGCCTATTCTTCAAATATTTGTCTCCTAGTCAAGTGATTCGAGACTTGATCGGTCAAAGGCCTTATCCTCACTCTGGAACGAGTTGGATAAAAGCATAAATAGTACACATGAAAACAAAATTCAAAGTAAGCAAATAGGCAAACAAACCAAATAGGCGAGTCGATAGAATAGTAAAATGGATAGATAAGCAAAATAGATAAAATTTATAAGTGGATTAAATTGATAAATAGGCAAAAATAGGTAGGCTTGGCCTAATGGGAAAACATGCAAATAATGACAAAATTGGCAAAAATAACAGAAATCGACAATTAGGCAAGAGAATGAAAAAATCGACAACTTAGGAAAAAATAGGCAAAAATCGACAATTTAGGCAAGAATTTGGCAAAAATCGGTAATTTAGGTGAACGTAGGCAAAAATCGGTAATTTAGGCAAACATAGAAAAAATTCAACAATGTGGGCATACGTAGGTGAAAATCGACAATTTAGGCAAATATAAGTAATCATCGACGATTCGAAAAAAATTTGATAAAAATTAATAATTAAGCAAAATCGACAATTAAGATAAAAATTAAGAAAAATTGACAATCGGACTAAAATTGACAAAAGACAAAAATCAGCAAAATTAATTATCGCGATGAGCATGATTGATCTGTGTTTGACGAAATTAGATTCACACGAAAAAGTCCAAATTACATGATTCAACATTGCATTTTTAACAAAATTACCACACAAGTAGTCTTACATTATTATCGATAAAATGGTCTCAAAACACGATTGAGACCGATCCATTTTTAAAAAATAAATACCGAATAACGATAGAACTTTCAAATCCATCCAAACCAATACATCATCCATCCAATCACAATCGCCATGATAATTTAATTTAATCATGCACCATCATAATTCAAATGAATCATACATGAATCAACAGATTAAGTTAACTATCTAACACGATTATTTGATCAATTACGGACACATATTGATATGAATCATATTTAATGCATATAAAAATAAAATGAAATAAAGTGAAAAGTTAAAAAAAAATTATTCCGAACAAAAGAGCCGGATGGATTTTCTTGACAATCCCTAGGTTAGATCCAATATTTTCAACCCCGATGGAGATCGATACTTAATCAATTAGGGAGAAAAGGTGGCTATTGAATGCTTGCTCAAGTCGAGTCTAAATCGATTACCGATCAACATCGGTGGCTAGGACACATGGTGTGGATGGGCCGGTCGGTAAAGACGTGCTCGGGTGTTGGGCGGCTCCGCCGGGCGCGAAGGTGAGGTGTGGGTGTGCTAGCTAGTAGGCGGTACACATGGAGGGGTTGGCGGGCCTATCGACGTCGTGCATAAAGGAGCCGCTATCACGCCGAGGCGATAGGAGCTAGCCGTAGGCAAGTGCGTTGACAAGAGGAAGGGGGTTTAAGTTTGCGGTGGGTATGGCACGTGGGTGCATAGGTCGGTGCAAGTGAGGTGAGCAAGCTGCTATGCATTGGGGCGTTTGGTCGAGGCATGTTGACGAGGCATGTTGGTCGCTTCATGTTAGGGTATCTAGTTGAGGTCCCGTTGCATGATAGGGCGTGGTTTGTCGCGCTCGTCGTATAGCCGAGGCGTGTTGGGGCATGGGCACGCTAGGGGAGGCCGGCTTGTGGCGAGTGTGGGTGAGACTAGGCACGTGGGCGGTGGAGTTTTGTTGCATGGTTGGTTGGTATTTTTGAAATGGAGGCGCCGGTGTGTGTAGGCTAGTGGCTAGGGTATTTTTGGAGATGGTGAACGAGTAGTTGGCCTTTTCCGTAAGAAAATGAGCTTTTATATTGGGTTTTTAGGGTTTTTTAAACTAAAATTTGATTTGGTACTTGATTTTGCAAATCCACCTTATTTTGATTCTCTTCTCCCCTCTCTTTTAATTACATTCCCAATTGTATTTTTTACTCCCTTTTCCATTTTATTTTTTTATTTATCATTTTTTTTTGAAAAAATTGGGTGCTAAAAATGATACAATTACCCTGGTATTGAAAATGATCAAATTGCCCTTATTCACAATTGAAGGTCATTGTCGCCCATTCGATCATCAATCAATGTGTGGATTACTCTACCATGTAGAGGACATCCGAGCGGACCTTTTAGTTCTAGAGGTTATGACCATCATTGCTTGAGGGAGGAGATTGACGATTGAAAAGTTTTGGTAGATCTCATCCTTCTTCTTTGATCAATTTTGATCAAATTTAATGGTTTTTAATGCCCTAAATTGGACTAGAACAACCCTTAGGACTTTTTAGAGGTTTTTTTTTTTTTTTTGGTCATTGGGTGGTCCGATTTGGCTAGAAAATGGGGGAAAAAGCCGATCACAAGTTATAGGTCACATGGGTCCAAATTCATCACCAATTTCTTCCCTTCCTCATTATTTTTTGTCACTTTGATTGGTGAAGAAGGGTTGATGAAGGTAGGGGAAGTAGTTATGAAGTGGTGGCGACTAGTGATATAACCGAAAATGGATGATTTGGGAGGAGCTTGTATTCGGATCTAAAAATGGGTTGTGTCAAGTGGATTTCATTTCAAATCCCAACCTCCTCCATCACTTTCAGCCATTGAAATAAGTTAGGGAAGGTGGATATTCCGAGCTTGGACTATAAGATGGTGATGGTTATTGGGAGTGATTGGCATCAAAGAGTAGCGATTTTGGAGGAGAAGCAATAACGAGTTTGTAGGTTGACCCATAGGTTGTGGGTTTAGTTTTAAGGGTCGTTCGATTTTTCTCTTTTTGTTTTAGGTAGACAACTTCTATTTTCTAGATTAGGGTTGGATTGTGAATGCGCATTTATTAGATAGATGATGAAAAATAATTCTTTTATATTTTGGCTATGTTTTTTTTTTTTTTATGGGTATAAGTGATGGGTAGTTGTTGTTAGATTATTTTGTTATAGGTGAATAATGAAGGCTAGTTTTTTTTTTTTTTTTTTTGTAGGAATATGGGTGATGGAGACAAGGGTTTTTAGGCGGGAAGATGAGTGATAGGGGATAGGCTTTTTAGGGTAGGGGGAATAATGGTAGAGGCTCTCTCAAAATGAAATGAAAATGGCGTTTATATAAGAATTTTTCAAGGTTTTGGATAAAATCAATTTAACTCATTCCTAGGATTATTTTTTGTTAATTTCAATGTATATATTATTATTTGTCTCCAATTAACTTCTTAATTGAAATTGTTTAATCTGTATTCTCTTGATTTCTTTTAATTTGGCATCGATTAATTCTCAATCAAGTTGATTTCTATCTCTTTCAATTACATCCCTAGTTAAATGTCACTTGGTCCTCGCTTTCCACATTATTTTACATCCCTAGCTCCAACTTTTTTTTATTTGTGTAGTGTTTTCTATAGAAAACTAATCTGGGCAATTTTGCAAGCAACCTTAAAGAGAGGGAGAGAGTGTGACGTGCTAGAGGTTTTTGGGAGAAAACTATGTTTTCCCTTTTCCTTTATTGGTTGTATGCCCTAACTCCTTTTTCTTTGTTGGCCTAATTCTCTCTCTCTCTCTCTCTTTTGTGTACTCGCCTTTCTCTCCCATATATTTATAGAAGCGTCTTCTTTGTCCTCTAAGGACAAGGAGGGGCGGTAATGAATCCCTTAAGGACTCTAGGTTGTTGCTTCCTAATCTTCTAAGGATTAAGAGTTATTTTACATATGGGCTTTTTTATGTTTATCTTTATCTTTAAAACATTTATCCTTATCCAAAAAGGTTGTTGTTTATCCTCCTATCAAAATATCTTAAGGCTTTTAATTAAACATATTAGGCCAAAACCATTCTCGGTCCAATTAATTTATTTGGACTATCCAAATAAATAATCTTAGATAATTTTAGATGGCCCACATTAGGAAATAATTTTTTTTAAATACCTTCTAACCTAAATTAGGAAGGTCATTTTCATTTTAGGTTATTTACTTTCAAATTTGGAACCAACTTCCAAATTAGAAAATTGATTACTAAATTAGGAAACTTTCTATTTTAGGAAACTTTTCATTTTGGAAACCTTTTCCAAAATAGGAAACTTTCAAAATTGAAAACCTTTTTCAATGCTTTTGCTTCTCTTTAATCATGTGAATAGTTAAGCTTATCTCGTGTAACTCAATAAGCTCCTAGATATGGTGGCAATGTATCAAGAACAAAAGACTCTTCTTTTATATCTCGATATATAAATCAAGATTGACCTCTAGTAAGACATCATGACTACCCAATTCTTTAGGAGGATTAATTATTCCATTATTACCTTTCATGAGTATGGTTACCATATAATTCGGTCTTTATGTCAACTTATCACGAGTGTGATCTCATACTTGGTTATAAGTCTTATTCGATTATGATCACACAAGTTTTCTTCGATTCTTAAATGTTTTAGCTCTTAGAGTAAATCAACTATGCTTTATTGATGTACTCTTACTATGACCATAGATTTCTTGAGCAAATATTCATCGGAGTGCAATGTGATAACTCTTTTAGCATACAAAGAATGACATGTCCTATCTTAGGCATACACCTACGTCTATTAGATTCATAGTGCACCTAATGAATCGCTTACATGTAACCCTTTATTGGATCCATCAAAATAAGTGTCAAAGTGCATAAATCCTCTAATGAGATAACCATAGTAACATCAAGTCTAATGACCAGTTGTACCCATCTCATATAACATTTTCATAGACTAAACCAAATGGGTTCTCATAGCGAGTTAAGTCTAGTGATATGTTTTCTAACATAAATCACTTACGTGTTTGCTTTGACACCTACACTAATAGAGGAATTATCAATGAAATATTCAAAGTAAGGTGTTTTAAAGGTGTTGGAAAATATCAAAGTCAATTCGACTCGGAAAAGGTGGATGAATTTAAGCGACCACTTCGTACCACCTTTATGCATGTTGCTTGACTCGTCTCTTTTGGTCCTTTCTCTATGCCTAATAGGTTAGATCATTTTAGAGCTACCTCCATGTTAAACTTGTATTTCTTGATAAAAGTGTTAGCTAAATCTTTTCACTTCTTAATCTTGGCTCCTTCTAGCCTCATATACCAACTTATCACGGATCCCCCTAGGCTCTTGTAGAAAAAGTATATCGGCAGTTTCTCATCATGTACCACTTCAACCTTCTTACTATATTAAACCCTCATATAGTTCATACGACACCGAGTGTTTGTATATTTAGTGAATTCTAGTATGTTAAATTCCTTTGGAATTACCACATTAGGCACCAAACACATCTCAATAACTTTTACAAGGTCATAGACTTTAGCCCCTTCAGTAGCCCTCAAACATTCCTCAATGGCGGATAGTTTATCTATATTTGCCCTATCCACCACCTTATGTTTGGTAATTTTATTAGTGTTGATGCCCAAGATCCAACTATGTTTGAATGAGATTAGATTAATATATTATTATATTATTTATTTTAATAATAATAAAGAAGTCATTCTATTAATTCTTATGTTTACATGTGGATAAATTTAGTAAAATTAGATTGAAGTCCTTATGATATGCATTTGCAATAGTGATTGATCGAAAGATGTGAGACAAACACTAATGCATATAAATGATATCATTAAACATCCTAAGTCATAGTATTTTCAAGAATGGACATTAACAAATAAAGTTAGACTTGTGAGTGCTATGCTCATGCTATATGATAGCAGTAGGCGATCTCACACCTATTTGCATGGTGATGCCAAAGCAAGCACTTTGGTGATTTATGTTAGAGAACATATCGCTGGACTTGACTTGTCATGAGAACCCATTTGGTTTTAGTCTATAAAAATCTCATACGAGATGAGTACAAATGGTCCTTAGACTTGAAGTCGTCAAGGTTATCTCATTGGAGGACATATGCACTTTGACACTCATTTTGATGGACCCATTAATACGTTGCACATGGATAATTCATTGGGTTCATTAGGAATCCAATGGAGATGGGTGTATGACTAAGATAGGATATGTCATTCCTTGTATGCTAAAGGAGTTATCATATTGCACTTCGATAAGTTGTCTACTCAAGAAATTTATGGCCATAGTAGGAGTACACCAATAGAGCAGAGTTGGTTTACCTAAGAGCTAAGACATTTAGGAATCATAATCAAACAAGACTAATAACCAAGTTTGAGATCACACTCGTGATAAGTTGACATAAGGACTGAATTGTATGATAACCATGCTCGTAAAAGGTAATAATGAATTAACTTATCCTCCTAAAGAATTGGATAGTCATGATGCCTTACTAGAGGTCAATTTTGATTTATGTGTCAATAGATAAAAGAGAAGTCTTTCATTCTTGATACATTGCCAACATATCTAGGAGCCTATTGACTCACACGCATAAGTTTAAGTATTTACATTATAAATGAGAAGCAAAGATATTGAAAAAAGTTTCTAATTATAAAAGGTTTTCTATTTTGAAACAATTTTCAAAAATGGAAAGTTTTCTGTTTTAGAAATCAGTTTTCTAATTTGAAAGTTAGTTTCAAATTTGAAAATAAAGAGCTTGAAAGGAAAGGAGTTTCCTAATTTAGGTTAAAGGGTATTTTGCGAAATTGTTTCCTAATGTGGACGTCGTCAAAATAATCTAAGAATATTTATTTGGATACTCCAAATAA